TTAAGGTATTTAAAATTGGCAGCCCAGTAAACCTGTTAACAGGGACCAGAGCAAAACTTGTGTCATGTCTTTTAGTGTTATATAACAACTGTTACGTGTGTCTGTGGTATTGGGATACATTTTGGAGCGTTTGGAGTCGGTAAAATCAACAGACCTGCCAAGTTCCCCTTTCCAAACTTTTAAAATAGAAAGATAAAACCTCTAGATTAACCAGGATTGCCAGAACTAAATCAAGTATTGAATCAGTAGGAATGTTGGGGAAGCAGTACTTTATGATTTAAGTAAGTCAAAGACTTGGAAATTAGGGAAATGGGTGGAATCCTGAGAGGTTAATTTTTTTACTTCATTCACTGAAGCTAGCAAAATGGAATACCTATAGGGGCCTGAGAAGGCCTGAGTACAGCTATAATGTTTAGGCTGTGTCTGTACAGAGAGGGAGGAAGTAATTAGTATTATGAATGAGGATGTGGTTAGACAGCTCCTTGAGATCAAAAGTACATCTAAATTTAGACCATATTATAAGACTAAAGGAAATAATAACATGAGAAATGGGATTGTTGAAAGGGAAAGTTTGAATTAAGCAGGGTTCGCACCAGGCAGTTCAAGTTTATGGATTCAAAGAGTCTTTTTACATATGTTTTCTGCCCAATAGTAAGGAAGGAAGTGACAGGCCAACCACAGAGCCCCACTTTATTTGCCCTGTTGACACAACAGTCCCAATCTTCACGTTATGTTCACAGATTGCAAGACTGTGGTTGGTCTCATAAGCAACATCAATGAGTCAGATTAAAGAAATGATCTGATTCTGATTACCCTGTAAACTGTACATTTTAGGTATGGGTTAGCATCTTGCCACAGTCAGAAGTATTCAGGCAACACAGCATTTTCTGCCTTTGAAAAGTGAGCAGTTGCAGAGCTGGAGTTCAAACCTGTGACACTACAGTTGCAGAATGAACTCCTGCATCCTAGACCCCCATTGATCTTCAATATTTGTAACATCTAGCATTTAAGATTTACAATTCCTAACTGAAGCTGTTTTACAAATTTTCTTTAATGATGATGTTAAAAAGTTTTTGTTTTGAGAGTTTAGAGGTTAAAATCAAGATTGGATTAGAAAGAACTAGAGGATGGGAATTGCACTGTTGTGACTTTTAGTGATTTAAATGTTTCTTTGTTCACCAGAGAGACCCAGTAACTCAACAATCCTCATCATAGCTGTTGTGGTTTCATCTGTTCTGGTTCCCATTGGGGCTGCTGGATATGTGGCCTATAAAAAGAAAACAGGTAAAAGACGTGGACTGCGTATCTAAAATCTAGCTGAGCAATAAGCTAGATCTGGATGAGCAGATTACAATATTTTAAAGATGAGAACTTCAGTTCTTCCATTTACTGCTCTGCAATGTTTTAGATGTGTTATGATTTGTAATAATTGTACTCTGGATATTTCTGACCTTTCAGTTCCTGAGAGGAGGTTGGAGCTCACTGAGACTGAACCCAGAGACTTGATCAACAAACAGTTGCCCAGTGTGGGGATGTCTGTGTCTGTGAAATAGTGCATTCTGTACATGCATAATAGAGGGATTTGTTTTGCAGACCAGATAGGCGATGAGTTAAACCAAGTTCTTTACTTTTCTAAAACCTGTTTCTTTTCTCCACAGATCAGATTCAAATGAAAACTTACTAAACCTGATTTGATCTTATCATAGTTTCACTTTGCACCAGGCAAAACTATTCAGTAGATGAAACTTTAAGATTTCATGATGGGTATTAATGACATATTATAAAGAGACCAAAGATTTGTGGCTGAAGACAGAAACAAAGGGAAAAAAATCCTTTGACTTTGAGAAATTCCTACATTCATGATAAGGTTGGATCCATTGTCAGTTGCTGTCAACCTTTCAAAAGCAGTTACAGTTATGTTTTTTTTCAGTGGCTTCCTGGCAGTGATTTTTTTTTTAGCCACTACCAGTTAGGCTGGTTGGGCTACAGTAGAGATATTTCTGGTCTCCAAACACAAGAAACAAAGATAGATACAGAACATTTGTGTCCAATGAAAAAATGTAGAGCAAACAACCAAGACTTTGCTCTTTATATTTAAAGGGCCTATAATATGCAAAATCAACTTTTTGAGATTTTAAAACTTTTATAATGCTATTTCCCTCTCAAAATCATGCCCAGAGTGTTAATTCAAGCGACTCATGTGTGTCTGAGTAATCCTCGTAAATTTTGCTGTCTCAAGTACAGCCCTTCCTGCACAGTGACAGCAACTGTTCTTGTTTAGCTAAGTCATAAAAAAGTGTTCTTCGCTGCAAAAGCACTAAAAAGATTTCCTTTCTAGAGAGCCTAAGCACCAGAAGTACCATGATGTCATGAAATGCCCACACCTGTTAAAAGTAAATGAATAGTCTGTAGTGCCAAAGGCAATATTTTGCATAGTTGACTTTGGAAGATGTAAAAAAAGCATGACTTAGAGCATTTAAACAATACTTTAATCATACATATTATATATGTTTGTGTAAATAAATATTTTTAAACCAAGAGTAATTTGCTTTATCACCTTTTAATCATAACACTCAGAGTAACATTAAGACTCAATGTTTCTTTTATCCTATCATTAGCAGCTGCTAAGTTATTGTTTTTTTTAACCAAATCATGTTTTAGATTTGTTCATTAAATTTTTTTCACTATTTATCAATTTCAACTTACTTTGATACATATTATATCCTTTGTGCTATATCTATACACTACCTGCAAATGATTGTTTGAGAAATAAATTTGTTCTCATTCTGTGAACCACTCGAGATAGGCTCGGCATCCCTCCTAACAGTAAGTCTACCTCTGCCACTGCTCCTTCCTAACCCATTTTTAAAGCAACATCAGCCAGAAGCCACTAAATATTTTCAGCAGGGCTGTGATTGTAAGCATTGTGGTTGGATTTGCACAAAACATTTTCTGATCTGAAGGACAGAAAATGAGCCTCTAGAAATTAATGGGGTATGTGCTAAAAGTTTTAAGGGTCAGAATATAAAATGCAATGTTTCAACCAGAAAGTTTTAACATTGTAGGTTAATGTAGGTATCGATTCTAAATTGTTAACCACAGTTTTAGGAAATATATTTGGAGTAATGATCAGATGGAGCGCTTTCACTTTTTGTTGTAGGAACAAGAAATGTATATATCTTTCAACTGGCTTTTTATGTAGGCCTAATTTAGAACAGTGTGCATCAATTTGTTAAATACACATCTATTTTTCCATGATTA